ATCGGGTTGCCCGTTATATAGGCGTTATATAGGCCATATCCCATTCTAATGCCACTGCGAGTGGAAGTAGAATGCGTGCTGAATTTTAAAAAAGGGAATGATCACTCTGCTCTAGTTCCATCCAATGCTTCAACGTAGGCTCCGCTTACGAAAGGCCTACGCACGGTCAGATTAGTCACCAAAAAATGTGAGAGGCTAACACGGAATAGAAAACACGAGATAGTCCTCTAATCTCCTTAAAAGTGCATGCACAAATGGAGGCGTTGAGAGGGGCCGTGTCGCTTCTCCTTGGATAAGGTTCAGCCACGTTTTCGGAAAAGAAATGCTGTCGGAAATGAATAATCCCTTTTGCGATTCGCTGTGCCCTCCTGCCCCCCCCCCACTTGCGGACGAGGTTTTTAAGATTTCCTGCAAAAAGAATACTGATGGCGATCTGGGATGCTTAATTCGGAGCACAAATTTTCAGGCTAGGTCACCAAGTCGCGCCCCATCTCGCTGAGGTCGGTCAGTTGGTACCACGCTTGTTTTGAAGAACAAGAACTTCCTATTCGACTCGCCCGTTCAGAACGACATGTGACGATTAAGCCCGTATATCGTGCTGAAACCACAATTTAAGGGAGGCGAGTCTTCTTTGTCCTTTCTCGCGACGAGTCTGGTAGGCCAAGTGGATCGTCCCATGAGATGTAAGGCTTTGGTTTGACCTGGGGGTAAGGACTCTACATGGTTTCAATTCCCCGAATCGCGTTTGATGCCTTTTCAACAGCCTTCATGTAATGCTGTACGTGAATTTCAGATATATGGTGTGGTACGAGATTCTCATGGTGAGCCTCGCCTCGTGGTTCAAGGCACATGGGATTCCCATGTAGATATGCTGAAAGTCGTAAGACAAATAGGAAATGGCGACAAAGCACGCCTCGAGACTGATCATGAGCCGAAACGTATTTGGACAGTCAATCCACCACCGTGAGTTGTAAATCGGCCTTATTTCTTCTGTGACGCACCCAAAACTGAAGTGAGCGGGCCCTACTTGGGAGGCACAGTCTCCCAATCAATAGCCTTGATTTAAAGGCAGTAGGCACGATGAATACCTCAAGACGAGTAGGATTAGGTTAAGAATGCCCGTTTGGACTTAAAGAATTTTCGGTTGACCGAGCTCCAATTTTCAACTTGCCGTAGTCACCAAATCCACCAAAACTACTTTGTATAATAGGGGTAATCAACATCCTGATTACGATATGATCACGTCACTTCTGGTGGCCCAAGAGAGGACACTACGGATTACCTCCTCGGCTCAGCCTTAGCAGAGCGGAGGTAACCGTAGTGTCATCATATTCGTGACCAGGATGTTGAATTACCCTATATACAAGTTTTTAGCGGATTTGGTGAACTTGCACTTTTAAAAATGACCTCGCAGCCGAAATTTGGAACGGCATTAAACCGTAGGATTAAATACGCGTCTGGCAAGAGGAATTCCGACGACCCTGAGCAAGACGCTTTGCATAATGCCATTTCCCAAGGATGTCCTTATCAAGGGCCCTAATCAAGCCCACAACTTACTTTCTCCCAAGTGCCCGCTAACGCCCCCGCCCACAAATGGACGACCGTTCCTGACGCTCTAATCGATTCATTTGCTAAGCAAATTATGAAGCGAAGGGATTGGTATGAAGCGGCCGTGATGCTGCATGGATATATGAGTACACATATGCAGCCGTACCTTCGGTAGCGGTTATTAGCAAGATGCCGGGCACGGAAACCTCGTTCAAAATTGATTTTGAATACAACTTGAAGGACGAGGCCCTCTTCTTCGCCAGGATTTTATGAACGCGTTTTCGCTCGATATCCGCGTCTTTCGCCATTTCTCCACTATATAGCGCCCCACTAGCATTTTTGGCCGAGCACCAAATCATCGTGCCAACCGCCTTCAAAGTTGTAGAGCGCCAAAAAATTGCGTCAAGTTCGAGCTTCGTTCGTTTTACTGTGAAATTCAGTGGACCTCACTTGGCATACAGTGAGGTACACTGCAGTTTTCAGTTTTTTTTTTCGATTTTTGAGTAAGCGGTCTTACAGCTGAGAAATCTCACAAAGCAGTGCGATGCTCAACAATTGAATCTTTTTAGCCCTGGTGCTGAACGGATGCAACTTCACTCGTTTGGCTATCGAGTTGAATGAACCAGAGCCGGGTGTTGCGCCCACGGATAGCCGGTTGCGACCAGATCAACGGCTTATGGAAGAGGGCAAGTAAGTGCAATTTCCTGTAGTGTTCGAATTCTTATGATACGGCACAGTCCTTCTCCCGCTCATGTGTTGCCACAGGAGTCCCTATGGAACCAAGATCCACAGAAAGGGGGGGGGGATCAAGGAAGGTCTACAAAATGCTGATCTTGACGTTGAGTACTGTCTAATAATGTTTTCAGATGGGACGAAGCCAACGCCAAGAAACTCGAGCTCGAAGAAAACAAGCGGAGGCTGTTGCGAAGAAAACGATGAGGCAAAGAATGGAAAAAGCCATGGCACAAGGTGTGGTCGGCCGAATGGTAGTACTTTTTCATCTGATTCCTGTCACAATCTTTGTTGAAGTCTCGAAAAGTCACTAGCGGCCCTTGACTAGCGATTTCAGGCCTGTGTTATCCATAAGTTGAAAGTGTTCCAGTCCAGCTAGTCAAGGCATCGGGTATTTTGGAATTGTTCCCATCAATTCTGCTGCTTCTCGAACTAGCGGCGCCAAAACGCACCTTGCTCCGCGACGGGACTACTATTGCTTGCTTGTTCCCGCAAAAAGTATTCAAGGGAAAGAAAACCAACAGGGACGCCTCGCAAAACAACACGCTAGACCTCTGTGAACAGCAAACGAAGATCGTACGGATGAGCTACAGGATAAACGCGGGCGGGAATTAGCGGGTATGGGTCGTCTATCGTAGTCTGAAAAAACGTTGAAAGTAGTAAAAGGTCCCTTCTCAAACTGCTTCATTTCGCGTGTTCGTGTGACGAAAGTTTTAAGACTTGCGCGCATTTGCGCGCAGTTTGGGGTGCTATTCGCCGGTTTTCCTAGACATAGGCAGTGGTAAGGCGTTTTCCTTGTCGATTGTCAGACTTATGAGCTATTTGTCGTTTTTCTAATCTTGCAGACTTTTCTGTCAATTCCAGGCCGTTCGTACGAGGAGTATCAGCCGAAATGGTTCTCCACGAAAAAAAAACTTCAAGATGAAAATCACAGGCACACTTATTCATAAGTATCTCGGGGAGTATTGGGAAAAGAAAGAACGAGGCGATTGGTCGGGTTGTCCAACTATATTCTGATATTCTGATCTTGTTTAATCGTTGCGTTTTTCATTTGACTCTGCGTTTTTATAAATTTTTAAATGTTTTTCCATTTTTTCGCACTTTAGAATTTTATTTTTAAAAAGTGGCCAAATACAGTAAGCGTTTGGCCTGTTGTGTGATGCCCATTCATGTGTAGATAGAGATGTGGTTAGGTGACGAGCTGTGATGTAAATATTGCCTTATCGATCGATAACTATCAATTCTATTATAGCAGTTCCTCTGCCATCCCGCTATGATATAGGCGTGGCACTAGTTAGTTGTCTTGTGTGATCCCCTAACATTAACTGACCGATTAAGGGTTTTCTATCTCTTCTTGCTTCTCTTATTAGGTTGTGAGATGCGTTTTCTGTGTGTTTTTGATGCATGAATCGATTTATTGATTGTTTTTCTGCATTGTCTCGGATATTTCGTAGTTCTCAGTTGTACTTGTCACAATGGTTGCTGCCAGTGATTATCATTGCTAATACTATGGTCGCCTATTTACCCGGGATGTCAGAGGTCATTTGTAAACTTTAGGTGACGTCTTTATTGTAGTGTTTGTATGTAAACTCACTAATTTAACCTTATCGTCTAGGGGGCGCACAGGGCACTCGTAACCGTAATATTTCAGTGATTAGTTTTAACAGTGTCATTTGTAGATGGATTATCTGTGAAAGAAAGATGTTTATTTCTTAAGAAAGTGATGTTGTGTAAAAGTTGTTTCTGCTAGAAAGTTTTCTCGTATGCTCTGCTAGTGTTTCATCTGTGAACTGGAAGGTGTCTATTACTTTTCAACACTTTGGAAGAAAGCAAGCAACTCAGCAAAATGACAGCAGCGAAAGTTTTTTTTTTGTCAACTAAATCAGTAGTCCAAGAACATTCTCTCGGCGATAACATTGGATGCGGAAGACTTATCACCACTGAGCTCTCTTATTGTCATGGTCTGCACCCTACGGTTGCCTAAAGAATAGCGTAATTGGTTATGAGTCCCATCACATTATCGTGTATGCTAATTTTTCTATTAACTACGAACACCTATGGCTTCCAGGGCACGCCGCACGTTGGATCTCCAGCGAGGGGGTTGTATAATATTTAGTCTTCGTGGCTGAGGGAGGAAGGAGAAAGGAAAGGTCCGTACTGCATTTTCATTCATTTTTTCTCTTTCTTTCAATTACCCAGCGAAACTGTGTATGTCAAATAATATGGTGATACAAAACTAATACAGCAATTAAAGTGACATCCCATTTCCCTGCTCCCCTCCCTCCCTCACTCGATGGCGAGAAAAATGTAGTTTTCGAGAAAAAAAGTACTCCAGAAAAGTGGTAGGAAGATGGGAAAATTCGGGAAGGTGGTAGGCAGTATGGGGAAGAGGAGGAGGTCGTACTAGAGGAGGAACTTTCGAGGAGGGTTAGCCATTTTTGCAAGAATTTTCCCTAGGAAAACCCACCCTGGGGCTTTGTGTGTGAGCAGAGGGGTTACGAAGTTCTAGGAGTGAAAGAATGCTTCACAGTTAAGCTCGCATTCCACGGTGAAGGAGTATGCGAAAACCCGTATTTACTGCCTATTCTTATTACTAAATAAGTATGACCCTAGCAACAAGGACGCACAGTGGCCGTTAGACTCCGAACATCCACTTCTCACGTAATGTCATTTGCCTATGAATGGCATGGACCCACGGCATTATCTCTGTTGGGTTTAGAGGGTCAAGGGACCAGGGGTTAAGAATTATTTCGCAGTTGACGACGAATACCACGACGATCGGACAGCAGGATAACCTTGGCTCTTTCTTCTGAAAGCACAAGCTTGAAAATGAGGAGGACGCCTTCATTAGGGACTCCGCCCATCTGATTATTGAAGATTGCGTCTTTCAACATTGAAGCTATGCAGTTACTCTTCTTCGAGGATCCTGTTCTTTGTCATGTGCGAGGTGATCGGGTACGCAGCCGGGGGAGTGCACCATTTTGTCGCACGGAT